ACCCTCAAATTGGTGTATCTTCAAGTCTCCATCACCCAGCAAATTGCATGCGATTTGAGTATTACCACTAAAAATCAATACTTGGCTGATAAAAAATTAAAAATTAAAAATCAATAATTAATAATAAAATCCCAGAAAAAATAGTAAAGAGAATTCCCATGGTTTTTTGAATTACTTTGTTGTTAATTCGTTAATTCTTATGCCTCTTCATGAGCCATGACCTAAAATTCACTACAATTCAAGCTTGGGTGACATTTGAATTTAAAGAAGTGTTTATTTTGATTTATTAAAAACAATTATCAACTCTTAGTTTTAATAAAATAAATTATATATTTAAAATTATAACTATCAATAATAATCAATCATTAAATATCAATTATTAACGATCAATTGTTCAGCACTTCGAAGCCTACTGGCTCCTTTTTGCAAGACGTGCTTAGGACTATCAAGACTTAGATTTTAATCTCAAATTTCTTTTTCTCTTTTCGTGAAAAAATTTTTCATTGTTTTAAAAAAAAATTATTAACGATCAATTGTTTCAAAAAAAAAAAAAAAACCTTATCCAAACCGCTTATAACTTTTCCAAGAGCAATCTAATAGAAAAAGAAAGACAATGGAACGTTGTTGCTTTCATAATCCCTCCTTTCCAAACAGTGCTTTTTTTTTTTTTTGGTTGCAAAATTCTCCTTGTTAAGGGTGCAAAAAAAAAGAAAAAAACTCCAAATCACGAGCCAAATTTGAGGCTGAGAATGAAAGAAATTAATATAGAAAGTAATATAATATGTCGATAATATATATCTGGATGTCAAATTACATCGAACCAAAAAATTACACGAACAGCAGTCCAACCACATTTCTCGGTTCTGAACCATTTGCGGCCCAAACCAACAACAGCTCCACCCACCGCACCCAAGCTTGTAATTTGACTCTTCTAACCCTTCCATCTCCTCATAATTACAACACTGCCACCCACTCAATCCCGAATTTGTCTGCCGTGTTCTCCCTGTTATGCTCATGGAATCCGAATATACCGAACTTGTCCCTTCCCCACAACCCTCCTCCGTCTCCGGCGCAGAACTCCTCACCGCCACCCATCCGTCGGATTCCCATGTCGGCCCTCCGCTTGTCTCCAATTTACCAATCCTCTCCGCCGCGGATACTTCACAGTCCTCCTCCATGGTTTCTTCATCTTCTTCGAAATCTGGAGTAACGAAATCGAGTACGCAGCGGGGAGATAAATCCGTCACTCCTGGATGTGGCGGCGTCACCGACGCAATATATGGATGGTCCAGCAGCTGATCGCAGCTCCACCTTTGATTCCGTTCTCTTTTCAAACACTTGTCAACAAAATCACGACCGAGTTCCGTCAGCTGAATTGGTATCTCGGGTAACTCGCTCGAGAACCCGATTCGACTCAGCGAGTCTAGTCCGCGATCCTCCCAGGCTGGCTTCCCGGTGACCATTTCGATGATCGTGCAGCCCAAAGACCAGACGTCACTCTCCGGCCCTTGATACTCGCCGCGGATCACTTCCGGTGCCATCCAAAGCGGGCTCCCCCGTGGCCGCGGAACACCGGTGCCTCTGTTTTGGCTCTGGACTTCCATGGCGGAACCGAAATCGGCGAGTTTTACGGAGGCGGAGTTGGGACCCACCAGAATGTTCTTTCCTTTTACGTCGCAGTGTACAATTCCTCTGGCGTGCACGTACTTCAAAGCGGACACAACGCACCGAGTCTGCCACCGCACCGACCTCTCGTCCACGTCGTTGAATCGGCACGCTGGAGCAGTTGCCATGTCAGTGACGGTGCCACCTGGCATGTACTCCATATGGAGGTTCCGGTGAGACGTCGTCGGAGACTCGTACGAAACGTCATCGCCGACGTAGTTGACAACGTAAGGACAGTCGGAGAGCGAGCGGAGAATCCGAATTTCGTTCTCCAAAGACTCAATCTGATTCGGCATACCAGTTTCTCGACAAACAGACTTCACCGCAAAAACCCGACCGTCGGTGTTATCAACCGCCACGCTCACAGAACCAAACGAACCTTTCCCGATACATTTCCCTCTTGTCCACCCAGATCTTCCTCTGCAGTTGCTCCTTTTCTCCATGGCGTGTGCTCTGCAATTTGTTGCTTGTGTGTGTTTTTTTTTTCTGGATACGTTCTGGGTCCCCGAGACTGCGGATATATATATTTATAATACGCGTGGAAAGCCACTGATCGATACCAGAATTTCGACACAAGTATATTATGTTTATATATTTAAAAAAAAAATAAAGGTAAAAATCCTTCTTAAACCTTTAAATTTATCCTAAAATAATATTTAAGCTCTTAAATTAAAAATGAAGCAAATAAGCCCTCTAATTATACTAATGATGTAAATAAGCCTTTTTCATTTATGGGTGTTTATGCTTTTAAGGTGATATTAAACAGAAAATACCATTTGGTTCATTTGTGAGAAAGACTTTTTTTGCATCACTAACGGAGTTAGAGAGTTTATTTGTTTTGTTTTTAGTTTATGAACTTAAATGCTATTTTGGAGTAAACTTAGGGGCTTAAGAACGGTTTTTTCCAAAAATAAATGTGACATGGAATTTTTAAGTGGATAATTTGGATGGCAAAAAACGGTTTGGTGATGTAAGGAATGAAGTTTGTGAGGTGGGAGTGGAAGTGCGTTTGAGTTGACGTAGAAGGATCCTTAGTTTTATCCTTATCCAAGGGACACGTTTAGCTGGTTGGAAATTTACTTCCAATAATACTTTGCCTATGGCCACCAATTGACTGCCGGTGGAGTTTGGCGTCCTTCAAACGCGTACGTGGCTTTTTCCTAGTGATGGTCTTGGGGAAGGTTCTTCCAAGGCAAGATGTTTAGGAATTACGTAGAAAATGATGACAGTTGATTAGGCATGCCCATACGTCTCCGGTGCCTAAGCACTTCTCGACTTGTTTATAAGCTTGTTTATCTTGAAATATTATAAATAATTATTAATTATTGACTTTTTTAATTTAAATTATATAATAAAAAATAATTTTTTTATTTTTTATCTTATTTTATTCATATATTATATAATTTGAATTTTAATATTTTTTAAAAAAAATTATTAAATTATTTAGATTTGTGATTATGAATAAATTGAATATGTTTTATTATAAATAATAATTATTATTAATTTTTATTTTTATTTGTATTTTTACTTTTTCTCTATGTTTTTTGCTTTTTTTTTTAATTTTTGGGTGTTTGAGTAGATGTTATGTGAGTCATAAGGAAGAAGATTGTCATGGTAAAATTTCAGGGTCCTTAAAAATTTATGTGATGGAGATGCGGTGGATCATGAGTGGGAAAGCAAGGGAATAATTAAAGGAAAAATAGTAATAATAATAATGGGAAGTGCTGAGTTGAAGTTGGGTGGCCAAAAAGGAAAGTCATGCGTAGGGACCCATCAATGTGGAAGCTTATATGGCCGGAAACGGTAGGTCCACGTTGCAGCCAAAGAGAAGTAGAGTGTGGGGTGGTGGGAGATGCCTAGACAGGGTGTGTCGATCTGGCATGCAGATCGCACACGCAGGATATATGCTTGTCTGGCTTTTGCAAGTGTTGGGTCTTTTGAGTAGAAAGTCAGTCGTATTGACGTGCACGACCAGCCTCTATTAAATAATTTAAGGCTAATAATAACATTTTCATAAATAAACACTACAAGCAATTATATTAAGGAGTAAGTAATATAGTAATTAAGTTAGAAATTGCTTGCAACAACTTCCCTCCTCGACTCATCTCCAATTGTATTTCTATCCTTTGGTATCTTTTGAAAGATTAGGATTTTTGGACAACCTTCCGTGAACTTCTTGTATATATCAATATTTCCTGATCACATGCCAGATAATTAATCATTTTTTTCCTTCTTTCTCAATAATATTCCCGAGTTCATATTCCTGCGTATAAATTACAACCTTCACGGGGAATACTTTCACAATGGTTAAAAACAACTGGCCTTCTCATTTAATTTTGACCTTTTTCTCCTTTTTTTTTTGTTTTTTTCATCCACCCATACAATATGGTACTATAGTATATTTTTTTAAGACAAATTAAAAAAATAGTAATATTTGAGCTCTTTTTAATTATTAATTAAGTATAGAGAGTACTGTTATTGGTTGAAAACCTTTTTTTTATTTGCGTGTGCAGTACCCATCTGGTAATTAGTCGACCATATCAAACTCACGGCAAACTTGGGTAAAATAAGGTTTGATCTGTGGACAAATTCAAATTGACTTCAAAATTGGATTGACCATTGATTATAAGAAAGATTAAAAAAAGGAAAACTAGAGAAATGGATATGGATATTGGAACAACTGTTTTAACGAAAGGGGAAAGAGGAAGGGAATAAGTTCTCCAATAATGCACTCAATTATCGATATATCAAAAGCTAAAATACAACAAAAGATAAATGCCAATCACTATACTGCACATTCATGCATCACAACTTAAAAAGGAGAAGGCCAATAACATTTTCAAATTGGGTTTTATCCAAATGATCAAAAACCTCTTTTTCTCAAGTCAATAATAATCTCCAAGTTAAATGAATCTCAAGTCATGTTCTTATCTTCCATTAATTATTCATACCCATCTTATTAATCCCAATTCTATCTTTTCATGAACATTTCCTGATTTACAACCACTCGATATGTATTCCTATATTAGCAGTATTCCTAGGTAATCTTGGCTAAACTATATTGGGAATAATAAATACCAGAATTGGGTGTTTTTTTGAAAGCAGGAAAATTAGGAGACTGTTCTAGTGCTAAAGGGCATATGTCATGGTCGGCTACTGACTACCAAGATATGAGACAAATCAAAATTTTGGTCGACAGGCCAACGCACCTGAACAAGAACAACAAATATGAATAAACCTCTTGAATCAAGCGGAATTCTTTCTTCATTTTTCCTCAATTTCACTTTTTTTTCCCCCTCAAGTTAGTACACTTGTAATTAATTAATGTTGCCAGTTGTTACGAAATGGATGTCCATTACAAAGAAAGCATAGGATGTGAATTGTCCAGGAGAGTTGGCAACTGCGCACATGCATTGCTTTTGCATGGAGTATAAGTCTAAAGAGCACAGGGATGAAAGGGCAACAACCCAAATTGTTGTCTTTCCACAAAAGACTGCGGATTTGGTAAGAACGTGGATTGTAGGAAGAATGAAAGGCACTCAGTCTTAGTCATGTGCACTTTATTGGTCAATTTTGGACCGGAGAAGGGAAGGAAAAGGATTGAAGTAGTCCTAACAGAAGACACCATAAATATATTGTTGTCCTTGTTCATATTGATTTTATATTCATATGTATTATTCACTCATTGTAGATTTTGAGCTGTGAAAGACTGAAAATAAGTGAGATTGAAGAAGATAGGATTCTCCAATGCCCCCCAAAACAATATTACTGTCAAAAGATAAATGAAACTCAGACATATCCTAAGATGGGTTTGATCTCATGAAGACACTTCTATAGAATAAGGTAAAGCAATAAGACTAGGAACCATTAAAAACTTACTTAAAACATATATATGCTTGATGAATTGCATTAGACGCAGCTGATTCCGTTTTTTGTTTGTTCAAAACTCTTAATGGTTCAAAATTTGATAAGGCGGCGAGAACGATCAAGACCGCCTTGCAGACATGCACACATTATTTGTTGGATAATTCACATCACATGGTTGCATAAACTAGAACCATGGAAAATCAAAATACAACAAAAAAATTTTGAAATCTGTAATCATTCAAACTGTAACATACACTGATATATGAACTACAACGGTATTACTAAAAAGAATATATATTATTTATTGAAATTGTTTCTATATAATAAATGTATCGATTTACAACTGAATAATGAATATATTGAACTTATAACTATATATAAACTCTAATTCTTCAGCAGTGTGTACAAGTATCCAACTGGCAAAAATTGTGGGTGACTAAATCCCTATAAAGAATGGTTAGAATATGATAATGAGATTCCACTACTACGCCAACAAAGAATTCTATCTAATTGATATATAAATATTGTACTCAAATGCATTTTCACTATTAAGCAGAGTAAATCTGCAATTGCCTATAAGTTAGCCCTGTGTCCTATTCTGTATAAATCAGAGGATAACACATAGCCCCCCAATTGAATCAGCATCACACTAACATCATCAGACGTGCCACGTGAAACAGCGAGATCAGCAAGCTTTTTACAAGCTAGTAATGGTTCTGGTTTATCAACACTGATGCATAAAGAACGAGCAATGTCTACTGCTTCCTGATTACTGACCTGAAACAGAAGGAAGAAGAATATAGTTAAGTACGCAACATTCATGTTATCATGGAGATGGTAATTAAGGTTAAGAAATAGTTCAAGGAGAACAAGATTGGGAGAGCTGTATGTACCTTATCCCATAAGCCATCAGAGGCTAGAATTAAGAACTCATGGTCCGGTTTGATTCGAAGTATCTTCGTATCTGGTTCTGCAATTACCCATTTCTTAAGGTGCCTGTCTCCAATCCCTCTGGATACAGCAAGGGATCCCTGAATTCTCCAAACACCACGACATAAATCCACATAGCCACCCTACAATACAATTTTTACAACAATCCATCAGTTACAATGCAGATATCATTTCCTTGGATAAGCACATCATGGAAAAAGAAACTGATAACAAATCAAACAAGAGCTAATAAGCTGCTTACCGAATTCCCAATTCTGTCCCGTTCGTCCTCCCTTGAAGGCCGGTGGTCAGATGTGAGAGCCTCCGCTAGACCTCTTCTGCTCATGACTGCTCGACAGTCACCCAAATTGGACACAACAAGGTTTCCTTTTCGGATCAAAGCTGTCACACAGCATGTGCCACCGTATACATCTTCCTTAAGGAACTCAGTGTCTGTGGTTAAATAACCACACTTAACAGCATCCCCAATTTCTTCCTCGTCTCTCCTAACAACTTCATCTAAAATATTCTTATCCAAGTTCTTGGCTGCAAATTCAGCTGCTTTAGACCCTCCATGCCCATCAAAAATACCGAAAAAAGCCTGAAATTTATAACATCAAAACATATGAGAATGGCTTTATACCAAACATTCTTGCATCACATCAATCAATTGTTTTAGTATTTGACCTAACTAGCCACTAAGTTAGTTTATTTAAAGCCAATTCCTCAACCAAAATCAGGTTTCATGCATATCAATTGTCTAGTTTACTTATTATCTATGATTTCACAAGCTTCTGAATATGAAAACACACGATATAATTGAGCAGAAGAAAGTATCTTTGCAAAAGTCACATATAGTCTTTTCCAGGAAGATTAACGGGATCAAACATCTCACATCTTCCTAATCTTGTTCATGAAAAATTTTATCCAATTCAAACATCTCATAACAAAACATATAATTCAGCGAACGGATTTGACATCCATGCAAACTATAAAAAAGAATTTTTCATAAAATTAAAAATCTAGTAATCCAAAAAGCTTCTAAATTCATCAAAATCAAACTAAAATTAAGAGGAAAAGAAGCCAAAAATACCTGTTTGGGATCTCCCTGAAGATTCGCGACGGCAGAGAACCTATCCTCCATAGCTTCTCTCCTCCCTCTTTTACAATAAACAGAATACCCATCTCCTTCACTCTCCATCTCTCTACACCCCTGGCTCTCCATCAACGGAGCCGCAAAGGCCATCGCCGTCGCTACCGGTATATCCAGTCTAGCCGGCCTCTTCCTCTTCAAAACCGACCCGGGACCAAAACCCGCACCGGAACCCAAAGAAGACGGAGATGAGGATGAGAGAAGTGACACAGATGGCGTTTTTTGAATCCTTTTACGAAACGGTGAAGAAGGCGAAGACGACGGAGACAGAGAAGAAGGAGAAGATGTGGATTTGAGGTGGGTTAAAGTCAGATTAAGAGTCTCCGCTGACGGAGAAAGTATTGAGGTTTTGTTACAGAAGAAAGACGAGGAAGGAGAGAAGACCGGAGAGCTTGATAGCGCGACGGAACACGACATGGTTTTCTGAATCTGCTAATTTTTTCCGACTGGCTTCAACGTTCGAATCTCTTTTTTTTTTCTTTTTTTTTGGTTTTTGGTTCGTTTGAATGGAATTTGTCTTCCTTTGAAGAACACTCCAGAAAGGGGATATTTAAAGGCGCTGTTTGAGGACTCCGTTTTGCGTGTTTTTGGTGTCAAAAAGGAGGTGATATCTAGCGTTTTTGACCATTGACTGGGGCCCTCCTTCTTTGTGGAAAGTCAGTTTTATCCCTCGTGACCAAAGAAGTTTCTTCCTTACTTTCAACTTTAGAATTATACCAGTAAAAAAATCAATCTGATGTTTTTAAATTATAAAATAAAAAATTTTAAATGAGAGGGAAATTCAATGTTAAGAGTTCAATTTCTCTTTCACGAAA